AACCCTAAACCCTAAAACCTTGAACAGTGCACCCTGAACCTCTAAGGCCCATCAGAAGTCACCCAAAGCCGCTTCACGAACCCTTCGCCTCCTTTCCTCTTCAGCGCGGCCCCTGCCAAGGCTGTTCTACATCCTCGGCTTGAACAACTGCAAGGCGGTCTAGGGTTTAGGGTTTAATTTAGGGCCTCAGTGATTCGAAGAGGCCTCCTTTACGGCTATGCTAAGGGTTCCATGAGAAAGGTGCCTTGATAGTCTCGGTTGTATATGATAGTAGAACTACAAGAAGGAGCCCTCAGGAATATTGTAGGTAATTCTTCGGGATTTAGGCCGTCATGTTTAGCATTTATGCCCGCGCCCCACGCCTTCGTCGCAACAGTCTGGTGTTAGTCTTAGTCAACAACGGATGAGAATGATGTAGAGATTCCAATATCCCTTAATTAAGGAATATACCTTAAATTATAGTAGGATCCCTAATATGATTTAAGGTATATTCCTTAACTAAGGGATATTGGAGTCCCTGGGCATGTACGTACGTTAATCGCATCCTTGAGGTCAAAGCCGTCTTGGATCTCGGGGCACCGCGTGGTTTAGCGTTCGAGGGCTTTTTTTTGAGGTTCAGGGTTTAGGGTTTAGGGGTTTTAGTGCTTAGGGTGATGTGAGGATATTAGAGCTTTGGTCAGATGGCATGTCATGGACTGTCTACTCAGTACCCCCGGCCCCCCCCCCCCGCCCCCTTCCCGAAACGCTAAACCCAAACCGCCAACAGAGGGGACTGGGCTCTTGCCTTAGGCACTGTGATTCTTCTTTCTTCTTGGGGTCTAGGGCTCCAGTTACCTAAATAGGAGGTTAATTAATAGTAGCCCCCCTATTTGGCCTAATTAATCCAGGCTCAGTGCAAGAAGTCTACGCCCGCACACGAGGCGAAGTTCATGCACTCCCGATGGTTCACGCGAATCCGGGCCATCAAGAGATGCCTCGACCAGGCCTTTCTAGGGAGGGTTTAGGGTTTAGGGGTTTAGGGTTTAAGGATTAGAGTTTAGGGCTGATAAAAAGCTGGTGGTCTGCGTGTGCAGGGCTGCTTTTACAAGCATCTAAAACCATGAACTTTTGACTGCTCAGGGTTCCAATCCCTACACAGGTAGAGTTCAGTGAACCTTTCGGGTTCAAGGTTGCGCTGTTGAGGCTCTTCCGAGGTTTGACGACGGCTTGGGGTAGTAGTAGTAGTAGTAGTAGTAGTAGTAGTCGTGGTGGTGGTGGTGGTGGTGGTGGTCGTTGTCGTCGGCGTCATCGTAGTAGTGCTGCTACAACGACTACCACTAGTCCCGCGACTGCGACGACGACTCCCCTAACCACTGAACCCATGGTCGCAGGTCATGTCGCGGCGCACGCTGGCCAACATGACGGGGAAGAGGCGAGCGTTAGCGATGCAAAGCAGGTTAGGGAGCCCCTAATTAAAACCCTAAACCCTAAACCCTAATCCTAACCCCTAAACCCGAATCCCTCAACCCTAACCCCTAAACCCTAAACCCAAATCCCTAAACCCTAAATCCTAAAGCCTAAACAGTAGAGCTGCTTGGAGTTCAGCCTGCAGTCTCACTTCTTTGGTTCGGGGCTGTTCCGGGAAACGGGGGCAACGCCCAACAAGTCGAGCCCTTAACAACTCCAAGCCCTCAGACCCCAAACCCCACCTAAGCCCCGAAACCCTAAACCCTAAACCCTAAACCCCTAAACCCTAAACCCTAAAATCCTTTGACACAACTGTTGTTGAAACTGCCCAAACTCCGACATGTAAAGATCCTCACTCACTATCCTAGTCTCCTTCACCCATCCTCCTGGTGTTCGCGGAGTGGGTTCACCTTTTGGCTTTAGGGTTTAGGGTTTAGGGTTTAGGGACCCTCTTGGGAGCATAGGCCAAGGTGCACTTCAGCAGGGTTTCGGATGTTCCCTAAACCCTAAACCCTAAACCCTAAACCCTAAACCCTAAACCCTAAGACGCTCGGCTCCGTCGTGTTCTGAAGTTTGAGGGGTTTTCTTGTGTAGGGCCCGAGCTCTGCCTGGAGTTTCCCCGCCCACCTGACCCGTTTAGCACAGACGTACCTCAAATAAGCCCTAAACCCTAAACTTGATGCATGTCCATGTCTCTGTGCCGCTGCTTTTTCAGTTTTTGGCTGGAGCTCCCTCTCATCGTGGGAGAAAAGCCACTCCGCCCTGAGAGGAGGCGCTTCAGCACCGAACCCTAACTCAGCTTTAAGTGCCCCCCTCCGGGAGCGGCGCGGAATCAAACACACAAAGGTCCTTAAGCGCAAAAAAGCCAGCAAACAACAAGCAGGAAAGTTGTGTCTACAGATCTCAACAAGGAGCCGCACGTGCCGCTCCCGAGGGTTTTTAAGCCCCGCTCCTCATAGGAGGACAGGGGAAGGGCAGTTTTCGGATTGCTGGGTAGCAGAGCCGCGAGACTTGATCCCTCGAAGGGGATTCTTCTCTGTCGCCCCTTGGCATCAGAGCAGGGCCCCCTACAGTAAACCCCTAAACCGTGAAGTTCGAGTTGGCCGGCTATACCTTTGTAGGACTTCACGATGAGGTTTGTCACACTTCAAAGACTTCGTTGGCTCTTGGAAGGCTGCTGTTGCCATGTTCGAAGCCCTAAGCCGCAAATCCTAAACCCGGAAGCCGAATCTCCAAGCCCTACCTAAGCTCTTCCCTCAACTACAGAGCTCAAAGTCCGAGTCTCCGGAAGCAAGGAGGTTGGGTAGGGTGTAGGGTTTTGGTTCAGATTCTACTAGGGTGGTCTTGGCTGTCTTCGAAAAGCTTTCAGCCTTTTCTTGTTCACTTACGGTGTACTCCAAACGAAATGGTTCGGTAGAGACGCTCAGCCATGCACCTAGGGCCCATGCCCTAATGTTCGCGTTAGTTTCTGATTGATTGTCGTGATTGAAGTAAGGTCTCCCACCAACATCCCATTTCTTGATGTAGAGTCATGGTCAGTAATGAAATTCCTAAAAAGTTTTGAGGGGTTGACGACCCTAAAACCTCTAAGCCCCAAGCCCTACAAACCCCTAAACTTGAGTCAGGCTAAGCCCCAAACCCTATAAACCCCTAAACTTGAGTCAGGGGTCTACGAATCAAGCCTTGTCCTGCCTGAAACCTTGAGCCAACTCAGCTCCACCACCTTGAACTCTCGGGGGCTCAGGCTCCGGGGTTTAGGGTCTATGAGTTTTAGGGTTTCGGGTCCAGAGTTCAGAGTTTAGGGTCAAAAAGGGGTCTAGCCCTAAACCCTAAACCCTAAACCTTAAACCTCTAGAGTCTGGGGTATAGCGTTTAGGGTTTATAAGCCCGGGAGCCTGCCCAAGTCCGACGAGAGGAGAGTAGGGAAAGCCCCTGTCGGAGCTTAAAGCCCTAACCAAAATCTGCTATTCCGGCAAGCCCAGCTGGTTTCTAAACCCCAGACGCCCTAAATCCTCAAAAAATATAAACCATCTCGGCCTCCAAGCCTTCAAAGCCCCAAAAGGCACCAAGCCCCAGTTCCGAAACCCTAAACCCCAACCCTCCCGAAGCCTTAAACGCTGAACACCCTAAACCCTAAACCCTAAACCCTAAACCCTAAACCCTAAACCCTCCCGAGGCCTTAAACCCTAAACCCCGAACCCCTAAACCCCCAAAGCCGGAGCCCCGAAACCCCCGGGCCGCAGAAAAGACTAGGCTCTGAGATGGCTTTGCTCGCCATCGTCGCCCTTCTCGCCAGTGCGGGCGTGGTGCAAAGTCACCAGACCCAGGCCAGGCACAGGGTTTAGGGTTTAGGGTTTAGGGTTGGAGATTGTTTTAATAGGATTCAGTACCTGATTTGTATCTCGCCTTAGGGTCCGTCTGACCAGGTTTATGGGAGAGTCGTAGGAGTCTTGGCATCAGGGCACCCTCTTTGAGGGGTCCACATCATCAGGATCCTGCTTCTTAGGGTCGGTTTTGGGGGTCGGGGGTCTTTGAGGGTTCAGATCGGGTTCTATGCCGTGTCCTACCTTTGTGGGGGTGGTGGCGTTGGGGGAGGTATTGATTATCACGATCCTTCAATGTATGCATGTGGTGTGTGTGTGTGTGTGCGCGTGCGCATGTCTGCTTACATCAATCAAGGAACATCTATCGATCGATCTATCTATCTACCTACCTATCTATCTAGCTATTTATCTAGCTATCTATCTATCTACCTATCTGTTTGTTTTATCTATTTATCTGTCTATTTACTTATTTATCTATCTATCTCCCTCTCTACCTATCCATTTATCTACCTAAGCTATCTATCCATCTATCTATCTATCTATCTATCTATCTATCTAGCTACCTGCCTATCTACCTATCCATCTACCTACCTATCTATCTACCTGTTTATCTATCTATCTGTCTATCTATCTATCTATCTATCTACCTATCTATCTATGTACCTACCTATCTATGTATCTGCCTACCTATCTATCTGTCTATCTGTCTACCGATCTATCGATCTATCTGTCTATCTGTCTATCTGTCTATCCATCCATCCATCTATCTTTCTATACCCTAAACCCTAAACCGGGGCTTTCATCATGGAGAGTTTTTTGAGCGCATCAGGCTTTAGAGCCTCGGTTACGGCCTAAAACGACCCGCCCGTCCAGGGGTTTGGATCTCAAGCCCCAGTCATCCTCCCATCCTACCTGCTGCAAGCCCCAAGAGCACATCCTCGAAAGATCGCCCGGCCCTGAAGCCCACACCATAATTTTAGAAAATTAACCCCTAGCCGCAACCTCAATGCTGAAAGCCCTAAGCCCTACCCCAAGCCCTAAGTCCATACACGCGCGTATCAGGCCATGTGCTTTTCCTAAGATTTTGCAAACTTGATTGATAATTCTGTCGTGTGTCCGGTTTGATTTCCGTCCCTGGAACCCTAATCCCTGCAGGAGTCTTCAGGGTTGCAGCAGGTTTGGCTTCAAGCTTCAGCTGCTTTAGGTACAGAAGGCTTCAGGTGTGTGCTTTAGGTGCAGTCTGTGTCAGTTGAGTAATGTTGGCAACAATATGACACAGCCAGCATGTCGGCCCAAAGGTTATTGGTTTTTAGTGTTTACGGTTTATGCTTCAGGGTTTAGGGTTTACGGCTTATGGGTTTTAGGGTTTACGGTTTATGCTTTAGGGTTTAGGCTTACGGTTCAGGCTTTAGGGTTTAGGTTTTAAAATTTTACGGTATAGGCTTTACGGTTTTGTGCGTCGTGTGCAACTGGGTAAGAAGGCCGACTTCGCCACACATTTGAGTCGAGTGTGCTGAAAAGCGCGCCCTAAGTTTTTGTTCGCTCAGTGCAGCCTTCAGACATAAACCCCAATGTTGACTCCAAACCACAAAAGTCCTGCAAATACCAGCACTTTCGAGAACAAGCCCAAACAGAGATGTCGCGGCACCACGCGGCCTAATACCAACGTGTGACCCCCTAAGTCTGAACCCAAAATCCTAAGCCCTAAACCTTACCCACATCACGATGCCAGGTGGCTCCTGGGGATGCGCACCTCTGCTTTAAACTTCGGGACCTTGGGGTTTTGGAAGTTCGGGCTCCGGCTTTGGCCCCCTCTCTTTTGGGCTTTAGAGACTGCAAGGGGAAAGCGGACCCTAAACCCGAAACCCCTAAACCCTAAACCCTAGACCCTAAGCCCTAAGCCCTAAACCCTAAACGCTAACCATAAACCTCCTGAGCCCTCCTTCTCGTAGGTTCACTCAGGCTTCTGCTCAAAAGCCCTGAGAATGGAAAGCCCGAGCCGCACTTTCTTGAAGGCTTTCTGACTTTCACTGTGGGTTTTGTTTGGTACCAAACGGCTGTTTTATTTGTGAATTTGAGTCCTGATGATAGTTTAAGTAGAGCTGCATAATTGAGTGTCGATCTGCATCCGTGCTTCTTCGCAGTTATAGCCGGCGAGCCTCACCGACAACAACTCTTTTTCGACTCGCTGTATTTTTAGGGTAGTCCAGGGTTTAGACTTGAGGACGGAGAGTTGAGGGTTTTGGCTTTAGGGATGAGGGTAAGCATTAGGCTATGGCATTCCGCGAAGTATTGCAGCTATTCCGGCCTCGATATTGAGCCCTAAGTTGGGTGGAAGGCAAAGGCACACGTCAAAAAGCCGGTCGATTGGTTCCCCGGGCTCTAGTGATTTTGGGACCCGAGGTTCACGGCATGGCCTGTTGCTCTTGGGTCTACTCGCGAGTTCTGTCTTGCTTCGGCTACTGGGGTGGGGGTGTTGTAGCGCCCCGCAAAATCCCAAGCCCCAAACCCAAACTCCTGCCCCAACTTGATAGATCCTAAACTCTGAACTGCAAGTCTCCGAAGGGGCAAGACTTCCCAGGAGGCACAGCCCAGGAAACTTTGACACAAGACGATTTCAGGGTTCAGGGTTTAGCGTTTAGGGTGTTAGCACAGGTTCACGCCGCCCAGTGTGCTCATGGAGCGTGTGACTTTCCTGAGTGGAAAGATCGGCGTCTTTGTGCAAGTGGGCACTGGTGAAGCCCCTCGCCGGCGAAAGAGTTTATGCTAGGGATCCTAAACCCTAAACCCTGAACACCCTAAACCCTAAACCCTAAACCCTGAACCCTAAATAAAGTGTTCATATTTATGTGGCGAATATGGTGGCTCCTACACCGTGGGACCTGAACTCCAAGTCCAAATACTCTGGATACTGCCCCCATTCAGTAGCAGTTGAATAGTATTCAAAATGTAGAGATATGAAGCCCTAGATCGTACCCGTATTATTCACTGTTGCTGTATGGTGGCGGTACCCAACAAAAACTGTCGATTTCCTCACATCCTGGGTCCGGGTGGAACCTGCACCTCTACTCGAGGCATCTGAGCACGAAAGCCATACTCTAGCAGCCTGAATGATTGACATCACCATTCCTTAGGCCCTAGGGTTCATTATTGCTATGACTACTATTATGATGATTACTCTTCTCATTGTCTTTATTGCTAATTTTGTTACTTTTGTACTGCAAAATGCCCCAACGCCCTCGTAAACCCTAAACCCTAACCCCCGCTATTCCGATTACAACGGTTGCTACATTGTTGAAGGTCTCTGTCCGAACCCTTGAAATCCACAGCCGAGCCCACGATCGAAATCCTGGGCCCCAAATCCTCACGCCCTCCAGCCAAGCCTGTGGCCCAACAGACCTGCCTATTCGAGGAACTACACATAGAAACCATAATCGTAATACGGAGCCCCAAAAAGGTACGTAGGTCTTTTCGGTTACAGGTAAAGTGTAGCTAGGGCGCGGGGGCTTGGGGTTAAGGGTTTAGAGTTTCGGTTTAGGTCTTCTTAATGTTGAGTACTTAAAGCCCAAAGCCCTAAAGCCTAAACCCACCCTCTAACACCCTGCTCATCCAAAAAGCACTGAGTTTGTATGAACTGTCAGTGGAGACTGCAACCACGCTGATGATGATGGTCGCCATTCTGGCAGTCATTCCGAGTACTACTGCTCGTATTATCATCATAGTATTTCTGCTTCTTGCTACTGTTACCGCTTGTATTGTCAATAGTGCTGTTTCAGTTTTTCTCGCGATTATCGCTGTTGTCGTTGTCAATCTCATCAGTCACACCGTTCATGATTATTCTTATCATTCCTATCATGTTTGGTCATATTATGTTCGCTGTTTTTAGTCCCAAAGCCCTAAACTCTTACTACCACTATTATTTGAACCCTAAACCGTTATTATAGCTATTATTTCAACCCTAAACCCTTGTTATCACTACTATGTAAACCTTAAACCCTTATTATCACTATGATTACCATGAGGTCTGGCCGGACATGGAGCAGTGTCTCTCTAATGTCTTTGCGGCCTCGAATGATCGCCGCCTGTCCGACGCAAAGGGCTTCGGGGCGTTTTAAGCAGGTGGTCGGGTTGAAGGTTGAGGGTTTAGGGTTTCGGGTTCAGGGTTTGGGACCATGTTATGGCAGGTTTAGGGTGTGGAGTTGTGCGTTGATATTGAATTTCGAACTGAGGGTGGGAATATCTCAATAATCCTCCTCCCGGCGCGACCTCCCATTCCTCCCTGAGGCATTTTCGTTCGCCTCGGGGGCAAATGGCCACACCTGTGACGAAGAGTGCTTGTTTGTTCGCTAATGGTGCGGCCGAAGACCTTCACAAGGTTACACATATGAGTGGTTGTCAAAATTATGGTCCCTTTTTGGGTCCTTTTTTATAATACGGCACCTATTAGTTAGGGTACCCCAAAAGTTTGACAACTACCCATATCAAAGACAATGTGTAGCACAACAACATGAGAAGCACCACCATGGCCATAATGCACATCGTCTTTAATGTCCTCATCATCATCATCATCAGCATCAGCATCAGCATACTCATCATCATCATCATCATCGTCATCGCCATCATCAGGGTCATCTTGAGCACCGCCATTGACCATTCAGTCACGGATGTCCTCTTCACAGTCATCACATAGCTACCAAGCATTCAACATCACCATCACAACCATCGTCACCAACTCACAGCCATCGCCGCCAGAACCGCCACCGCCGCCGCCACCACCACCACCACCACCACCACCACCACCACCACCACCACCACCACCACGACGACAACTATTGCCATCATCATCATGCTCGTCATCATTATCGCCATCATCATCAGCATCATCGTCGTCGCCACCAGCATCATTGTGGTCAGCTTCGTCGTCCTCAGCATGGTCCAGAATCATGGTCAGGAGCCTTGTCAGAGCTAGCGACCCTACCTTGACTCTACGTTACTCATCACGTGCATGTGTGGTACGAAGCAAGATGGAAATACACTGGTCCGTAGAACCTTGAAGTGCTCAGCCAAAGGCTTCACGGTGTATGGCCAACAAAGAAACACCCTGCTAACACAAACCTAAGCCCTAAACCCTTGAACCGTAAACCCTAAACTCTTAAACCCAAAGGACCCAGCTTAGGGAACCTCCGTGCCGAGGCATTGGGGTGCACATCGACTATGTGGAGGCCTCTCGCCTACTGCTAGTTCTTAGGGTTTTTGTTTCGGAGTTCAGGGTTAGATCGTGGGGGTGTTTATAGGGTTTACGTTTTAAGGTTTCGTTGTAGTTTGGTGATCAGAATGTTCATGAAATGATGTTTTTTAGTTGCTTCCTCTGCTTCTGAGCTGCTGACATCCTGATGAGTAGCCGTAGTTTCAAATGTGTAAAAACAGCCGTTATAGAGGCTATCATGTTAAGGTTTGTGAGCATGATGTTGGCGAGGTGGTTATACTTGTACATATGCATGGTCGTCAGGACATCGTCCTCGGGCTTTTTGTCATCCTCGTCGTCGTCCTTGTCCTCGTCATTTTGTTACCTCCTACCCATCATACTAGTTCACGCCCTGGACCCCAAGCCTTGAAAGCCACCTATACACTCGCTGGAAAATGCCCCCTAGCATGCCTAGCATGTCCATATACACCAACGCGAATCAATCTCAAAGCCTCGACGGTCAAGAGCTCAACATTGGTGCGAAGTTGAAGCAACACTCCAGGTGCAGAAACGTCGCTGAGTCAGGTCCACCCTTGGAACAAGAAGATAGTTTGTTCCACACATCTTATTCTCAAGATTACGGCCATAATCGAGAGCTATGATAATCAGAAGCATGAGGCTGATGTGGGTGATGGAGGTGGGGACTGTGATCATGTTGACCTGGACAGGCCGCGGCGCCTTCACAGGCAGTGATGCATCAACTGTCCGGCTATATGAGGCGGGCTGCTCAGAAGCCTTGAAAGCCCTGAGCCTTGAAACCCGCACTGCAAGCACGGGGTAATACAGGGATCTTAATAATTAGCATAAAGTTTTTGGAGCACAGGTATATAATACAATTTTCTATGTCAGGGACTATACGGGGGTTTGATTACCAATTAGTCGGTAAGGCCAAAGGCACGGCCCTAACCCTGGCTGTCAAGATTAGCTCCACCCCTTCCTTCGCGCATTTGGGCCCCGAAAGCATGCGTTTTTTTTTATATGATGTCCTTTCGTCCGGTTGCCAAGACGTTCACTACATGGTTTGAGGTCCCTGGTCCTTTTGAGGAGTTACAAGATTTTTTCCTGCCTGTCGCATGCAGGCCCATGTTAGGTGTGTAAGCAGTCTACTACTACTACTACTACTACTACTACTACTACTAGTACTGCTGCTGCAGTTGCCGCTACCACTACCACTTCTGCCACTACTGCTACTACTATCACTACTACTACTACTACTACTGCTACTACTACTACTACTACTACTACTACGACTACTATTATTACTACTACTGCTACTACTACTACTACTACTACTGCTGCTACTACTACTTCTACTACTACTACTACTACTACTACTAATACTCCTACTACAACTACGACGACGGCGACGACTAGTAGTAGTAGTAGTAGTAGTAGTAGTAGTACTACTACTACTACTACTACTACTATTACTACTCCTACTGCTA